AATTAATTACCTATTTTAAAGAGTTCAAGAAATGTCAAGCTTTTGTCATTTCACAGAAAGATTCAGCAGTCAGATTTTAAAGGATGCATAATGAAGATAATTCTTTTGTCCTGTTCAGGGACCCCACAGTTAAATAAGTGAAAGAAAAATGATGACAACTGAGGTATTTAGCATAAAAATAGCTGAATTTTTAACTGACCTCGGGTTTTGAGATTTGTTTGAAAGTCTAAGAAGAAGTTCGTTCTCACTTCAGACAATATTTGAAGGAAGAAAAATAAAGTTTTATCATATTAAAATTCACATAGAACTTCAGCATATAAGAAAAGAGTAATAATGACAAGAGTAATACTTTCAAGCATTTTTCTCCAAATTCAAGACCTGTTGGAATCTACTATTTTAACTCAAGATTGCCCCAATTTTATGGCCTGTCATTTCCCATTTGCCCAATTATTAAAGATGCCTTGTCACACCAGTGACAACTCTCAGAAAGAAGTGTTAAGGCATAAATTGCAAGTCCAAAATATTAAATTTCTATATATTCTTGCTGGGAAACCTTGGGTATTGTTAGCATGGGCAGGGGTCTGTTTAGAAGAAATTTGGGTCAGTTAACGGACCCTTCACAAAATATTTTAACTTAAAAACGGACCTTTATCTTTTAATCGGACCCTTCACAAATTTGTTTATCTTCATTATTGTTTTGTTAATCGAATAAACCCTTCCCAAGAAAGGGGNAAAACGGACCCTTCACAAAACAATTTATCTTTTAATCCGACCCTGCAAAAATTTGTTTATCTTCATAATTGTTTTGTTAATCGAATAAACCCTTCCCAAGAAGGGGGGGGGGGAAAGACAGATGTAAACGAACTAAGTTTTGTCTTCAGCAGACGCTTCTTCCTTTATTCGTCTAAAATGAATATTCTGCGTTCAGCAGTATAGGCTAAATACCAAATATTTGCTGCATGTAGCATCTCTAATTTGAAGCAGCAATTGTTGTTTATTTTCGTAAATTTAATTTTTTTAATTATAATTTTACAGTGCTGAGCATAATTTTGTCACCATTTACAATTTAAAAACTCCTTGAAAAAGTTTTTTGCAATAAGCGGACCCTATTTGCACAAATTCATAATAGCAGGACCCTGTTTAAAAGAATGTGGCTTAACGCTTATTTAATACATCACAAATAATGAAGAGTAATTTTGGGCTGGTATGGGGAAGGCTGGGTACTTCTATAAAAGTTCTCAATATTTTAAACTAATTTAGAAAATTTTCACAAATTGTCGACTATTTAAATTCTAATTAAGTTAAAAAAATACTTAAAAAGATGAAATTTTGTCACTATAATATATAACAGATGAACGAAATTTAAACATTAAACATTTTTTTTTCATCAATCGAATTTTGTGTGTTATCATTTGTTTTTAATTTTAATATCTCCCAGGAAAAAAAAAATTGGATGATTTAAATATTCTTGTTAGCGATAACACAATCAAAAGGTTGAAGAGGAATTAAAACAGATACTGTTGTTTAAGAATTTTTAAGAAACATAAAGTTCAAGACTGTGGATCAGGAATCAGGATTTTTTTTTTTAAACTGTCACTTTGAACTTTTCTGCGTGTTAATTATGAACCAACAAAAACGACCAAGATACTTATCAATATTTGGTCAAAATATTTCAGAAGAAGAGAATTTAAAAACCTAATGCTGTTACAGTTTATAACAAAACAAAGCAGTATTTATTAAACCTAATTATATTTTAGTAAACCCATAATGCATATACCACACTTATCATAAGTTTATGTAACATAAAGCTCACAATGTTTGATATAACATTGTGAGCTTTATGTTACATAAAGCTTACTAGCTATGAGTCTTTAGTTTAAAAATTAATACTTGTAAAATAATTAGATAATGTGTGAGATATATTTTTACATTAGTAAACTGTACAAGTAATATTGTTATATGAACAAACAAATTTCTTAAATTATTGAAATTTACCTTTTCAGGGTCTGAAGTTTTTGTTTATATAATTTACATAGATAAAACTGAAATTACTATTGAATTAAATTTGAGTTTTATTATTTGTAAACTTCAATTTTAAAAAAGTAATTATTTAAACAAGTTCTTCAAAAATGGTTTTAAATAAACTAGTTTATTCACATACACCATAATCCTAGTCATATGATTGCTATGGCTTTCTGGGAGAAAAACACAATAGGTTAAGAAAAACCAACTTAAAACTTTTTTTTTTTTTAAATTAAGTAACCTTAAGCAATCTTTTAAAAAAAAAGCAACCTTAAATAACATAAATATTGCAGTTACTTTTTGAGGCGCAGCTATATTTATGCTACAGTTGCACTTGATGTCATTAAGTAAAAATTATTTCCAGTACTTCTATTTTAAGCTGTTGTCTAGAACATTTTATTAATTTCTTAACCGAATATAATTTCATTATTCAAAAATATTTTTTAAAAAATAATTTAATTAATTGCTCAAGTTAAAATTAATTTGTTTACACTTAGTCTTAAATCCTTAAGGGGGAGGGGAACGCGTCTTTACAATCTACATAAAGAAATACATTCTCAGGTTTGGTATAGCTAATAATAGGAAAAAAGGACACCAAAACTCAAAAAACAAACATTAAGATGGATATGAATTTAAAATAAATTAAACATAAATATGAACTGAAATACTCAAATCTTGAAAAAAAAAAGGAACCAATTGAATTAAATAGCCAATTAAATTAGAGCCAATTGAGAGAGAATAGCCAATTGAAATAGTAGAACCAAATGAATTAGACGCTTAAATCATTTTGTTTACATTTTTAATTTTAATTAGATCATAGTTTACTTAGTTAACAAGATTATTACATGCATTTCTTAAAGTTCAATTAGTTAATTATTATTTTAGTTGTTTAAAAATATTTCATAAAGAAATAAAAAATATTATTAACTCAGCATATTTTTAAAAGTACCATAAAAAAATACAAAGATAATTTTTTTCTTCGAAACTTCTCTTTTAAGACTCGCATACATATACAACTAAAAATGTTGGAAGAAAAATAAAACCTATCCCGTAGCATAATCACCTGTTAAGTAAATCATCCACATTCTAATTGGCAAAAAAATATTAACTGCTAAATTTTCACTGCTAAATATTAACTATTAACTGCTAAATTTTCACTGCTAAAAATATTAACTGCTAAATTTTCACTGCTATAATCACTGCTAAATTTTAAGGATCAATTTTTACAATCTAAAATCTTTATCTTTAAATTATGAACTCTTGAAACAAAAATATAAATGTAAAAATGAAAGTACAGAAATGGACATACATAAGTTTAAGCTCTATAAACAAGAACCATCCTCAGTGTTTTAACACCAAACGATAGTATATCATTCAGTGTACAGACACTAAATAGGTTCTTGTTCATAGAATCGAAATTATTGTATGTCTATTTTTGTACTTTAATCTGTACTCTATTCACATTTTTCTTTTTTTCTTTTTGCTTTAATTTACATTTCACAAAGTATTTTTTATACTCTTCAGATATATGCTCTTAGTTATTTTAATACCGCAGCAATGAATAGATTAAAAATCTAAAAACACACTATTAGCAAAATTATAAAATACAGTCTCATAATCACTTGAATTTTCAGGCAACATGACTAGACAACACACAATCTGACAAATACTGGCAAATACATAATACAGTACAATTTAGAATATTAAAAATATCAGATTACTATTTAGAAGCAAAAACATTTATATAACTTTACATCTACTTAACAAGAAAAGTTTCATTAAATGGATAAAATTAATCATATTTCAAATTAACAGTTACAAATATTTGGTCAGATTTTTTTTCCTAAAAAAAAAAAGTTCATTTTATGCTAAGAAATCATAAATGAATTAATGTATTTGTATGCAAACGAAAGAAAAAAATTTCAAAAACACACACAGGTCTCAAATTCGCTTAACTATTTCCATTCTTCTATCGTTTGAATTACTTAAAAAGAAGGAATCTATTGCGTTTATTCAAACTTGGATATTTCACGATTATGTAACGATCGAAAAATAAAGAATAAATGTCTCGCTTATAAATATGAGCATTGTATTCACTAAAATATTTAACTACCACAAAGATCGTGACATACACTTGAAAAATACAATGGTATTTATAATGATTAGAATATTTCGCTATACCATACACAAATGAACCCAACAAGATTTGTAAATGGTGAATTTTTTATAGAAATTTTCAAATAAATCGTTTGCTTATTCAAGGTATTACCAAATTTAAACTAACTGAAAATGCTAATACCAAAATATTACATACAAATGCAAAGCAAAATATTACATCCTCTAAGTACCAGTGATAAATCCGATTAAATTACATATTAATTAATCCTAATGAAACCAGGAAGTTTCTAGTATGAGTCAAGCTATTTTATGGAAACACTCAAGAAAATATTAAACTACACTACGGGAAATGTAGACATATAGCGAAATGATTTTAGTGCATTCCTTGTATAAAATAAAACATGCAATTTAACAATAAACAAAGATAAATTACTACAAGCGTAAGAAAAATTGTACGTGGCTTTAAAATTTATATTAATCACATCTAAATTTTAAAAATGTTTTAATATAACACGAAAAAAATTATTTTAAATCAAAATCAGTATTCAATTATTTTTTTTCTAATATTACTTCTTTAAGCACATACCTATATTAGTATACTGATAGCACAGTACTCATAGCTCCCATATCGTAAGGTATTTTATTCACATTGAAAATCTACTAAAAACAGTTTATGTGACTAGTACATAAGTTATTTTAAAAATACAAGCTGGTCTCGTTTACGTAAATAGTCTGGATTAACTCCTTTCAGGCCCAAATAAACAAGCTAAAGAAACATGCACTTCCAAGGCCAACGTAATTAACAACATGGAAAGCTATTTTAACATTATTAAATGTATAAATAATAATACACAACTTACTTTTTGAGTAATATCCTTAAAGCACTTAATTTATAGACTAAACAGATATTCCAATTTGGGATTTAATCGGTTCACACTGATAAACACGATCTTGCGTGTTCTGTCCAAGCTAGCACACAAATGGTATTTAATCCAATCCTACATGAAGATTTTATACATAAGAATCACCCGGCAAACGTAACGATGTCAAGAATACAAACACTTCAATACAATTGAGCAGCAACTTGTTTACTATTGCCCACTTCCATAAGACTTGCTGGTTTAAAGAATTATAGATGAGTGTACAATTCTCGCTCTCAGTTTCTTCCCCGATGTATAGGGTTGTTGCAGTAAGTTTGTCGCCTAAAAGTGAACTGCTCTTTGTCGCCAAGCAGCCTAGATCGTGAAGAACGTTTCTATGGAAGAATATTTTATCTACACATAAAAAGATTTTGATTATCGTCTCACGGCTTGTAGTTTTATAATTATATAATTAATAATTACTAATTAAATTTATTTATCTAATTAAATTTAAATTATTAGTAATTTTAGTAGTGAGGAAAAAAGATTATTTTATGCACGAAACTAATAACAAGACATTGATAAATAAAATATTATAATTAATAATAATAAATTTGCAATAGTTAAATATTATAATTAATAATATATAATTGATAATATTATTTTCATACCATCACTTGATATTTAAAGTTAAAGCTTTAATTATTCTTAATTCTAAAAAAAGATAATAGAAAAAAGAATAATTTCCTTTTATCAATTTTTGTTTCAAATTAATTATGGCACCCACACCCACCCTCTCCAAGTGAAACTCCCTTATGGAGAGTAGAGAGTTGGATTAATTATAGAAATCATAGTATTTGCAAATAGATAAGAATACATACTAAAAAAATTTTTTTACAAGGCGTTCAATAATTATTGTCCTATATTTTCGATGAAAAATGAAATATATAGTAGACTGAAGTATATTGTATAAACATTGATGATCTGAAATTAATATAGAAGTCCGAAATAAACATTTTCAAAATTTGACGAATCATTATTGAGACATATCCCAGTAAAGGAGAAATTGAATGCAATTAAACCAGTTCAACTGCTGTGGATGAAACTGAAACATACGTCTTAGAATCGCATTTCGCCTTCTATTACGTTTTGTTTTGCAATTTTTTAAGATGTATAAGCTTGTTTTAAAATGTTAAGAGCATGAACAATAATACTCGGGACGATCCACTCTGACATTCTCTTGCTCATACCGGCCCCAGGGCAACACTTTAAAGAAATAGGCAATTGATAGAGTAGATTTGAATAGTTGTCACTCTACAATACATTACGTAGTGTTTCTGTCATAGTTTTATTTTCTGTACAATTAAATTTGTAGCATAAATGAATAACAATCCTTTGTGATTTATTGTTTTAAACTTAAGATGTTATGCTTCATTTCAATAAAAATGTTTGAATTAAGATTGGATTAGTGTTCATGTTAGAGTTTTGCAACCTTTTCACGTAGTGCATTTATGTAAAAACATTTATTTTAGAACTTAATTCTATTATACGCGTAAAAAGTGTTTCTTTCAAATTTTTGTTTTCTCCCGATTATTTCTACTCTGTCATATAATAAATTTTACAATAAACAGAAGAAGAAAATCATCATTAATAACGTGCTTTTTCGTATTTATTATTCTTCCATAAGTTTAAAAGGAATAATAGTGCATGTCATCTATGTTAATACGTGTTATATTCAGTTTTGAAAAAAAAATGCAGAACAAAAAAGATAAGGAGAAATTAAAACACATTAAAATAAATCGTAATTTCTTTGACTGAATCATATTTGCGCGTTTTGGCGGAAAAAAAATTGGAAAAAAAAAATCCTTTGCAGATTTCTCTGCGTTCAAATATCGATCGATATTATTGATATAATACCACTATTGATTATTTGATATATTATTGATTATTTGGTATATAGTTGATTATTTGATATATTATTGATTATTTGATATATTATTGATTATATGATAGATTATAATTATTCGAAATAATTCGTCTGATTGGGGTCAACATTACGTGGCATTCCTTCCATTGCTTTTAAAAGATAGAACTCTGAAATGGCCAAGTGATAAACTACGGTTGGCTATATGATGCGCATCTAAGTCACGCATGTTACTTTTTTGAGAAATAAATAAAAAAAAATAAAACAAGTGAATATGCATAACTTGATTATACTGGCCTAAAGCTAAGTATATTATTTTGGGCTTTTATTTCCCAGAAAGGTAACAGGAGTTAAAAATTACGCACATTGTTTCATTTTTGCTAATCACAATAACCTGGTCACTTTTGCAAGGTATGGCCAAAGTATTTTTTTTTTTAATATTTTTATTGAATTTTTCACTACTTTTCTGCGTTGTAACGAGTTTTTTATTCATTAAAGTAAAAGTTAAATAAACTAGTACTGAGTTATTAACAAATTTGTTAAACTAATTATTGCTGATTAACCTTTTTAAGGCAGAAATTTTATTTAACATATTTTTCATATTATTTTTATTATTTAGCAGTAATTTTGGCAAAAAGAAGTGAGAAACATTATATTTAACATTTCAATAACTTATGCTTATGAAATACAGCACGAAACATCGTTGTCTTTTTCTGCTTTAAAAGTAAAATCTTCCAAACACATCTTACTCACTCCCAAACAACAATTTTTTTTAATTTTCACTGATTTGCTGTCATTTAAAGCAACTAGAGACAGCTATTCATCACTGAAATTTTTTTTAATTTTCAAAATTAATTATTTATAAATTTCTAAACATAATTAAAAAAAATTTTTTTTTTCAAACTATGCTTTTTTTTATTATTTAGTACAAATATAATTCCGTTAAACTAACTGAATTTTTTATTAGCTATTAGACTGCTTTTTACATTTAAAAAATACCAAAATATATTTTTACTCGTAATTAGAAGGTCAGAAAAAAATATATAAAAGGGACTCCGTGATCTCATCAGCGTCAACGGGTTAATTAAACTAAAAAATCCCTAATTTAAAGCAAATTATAATTTCTAGGTATAAAATAGTTTATATTTCTATAGTATATAATAACTATAATAAAGTATACTTATGTATTAAATAGTATGAGAAGTTTAAAATTTAGTGAAAAAATTTGCATGCATTAAAATTACATTTTTTAAGAAATACGTAGATCAAGTATAATTTAATACGAATGAATTCATAAATTTCATTTTATCTAAATTATGCTAATGCAATCTTTTTAATCTCTTTCACATTAATATCATTGCAATATGCGTTATTCTTCAGTTCTTCTAGAAAAAATATAATAAACTATATAATCATAAAACTTTTCTGAAAGAAAACTGTCAATGTGACAGATTTAACCGAAAAGCGTTTAGACACAGTCCTTAAATTTTAGATCTCATTCTTAGAAAAACTTTCGACTGGTTTCATTTTAATTTTTAAACTAAGAGCACAAAATTTAAATTTTTAAACATTATTTCAAATATGACTAAAATGTATCCAGCAATATTAGACCATTAATTTACGGTGGACAACCATAAAAATTAGGGTTATTATCATATATTTCTAATTTTTATTTTCCTGAGTAATTATGTTCATTTTTTAAAATTCCGCAGCGTGCACGGGCATTTGGATACCCAGAGCAAACTCCTCAATTATGGGGTATATTAGATAGTTCTGAAAAAAAAAGTTAAGGAAAAACATTCAAAATAAAAATCTAAATCCATTATGTTAGAATTAAAAATGTAAGTGGATATGAACCGTAAGTGTAAACTACAATGATGAAACATTATCATTTTACTTTATGATTTACTAATATAAATTTTATTTCAATTTTATTACACAATATTATTTTAGCACTCACTAATATTTAATTTATTGTAATTCTACCATGTAATTTAATTTTATTATTTACTAATATTAATTTAATTACATAATTTTATTTTATTATTTACTAATATTAATTTCATTACGCAATTTTATTTTATTAATTAATAATTTTAATTTTATTAAATAGTTTAATTTTGTTATTTACTAAAAATAATTTATTTTTTCTGTTTTTTCTTAAATCCTAAACTGTAATAATATAAAACTTCAATATTAAATATCATGTATTATTCTTCATGAAATTTTGTGCACAAGCCAAATATTTACCAGGGGAAAATTATTAATCTTATTAATTATTTTATCAATTATTAATTTTAGAATCCTCAGTCGTCTATAGGAGGCCCACTCCGGCTAGATGCCTTGGCTAATAGCCCTCCTCTTTGCACGCCATTGCTTGTACTATTATTTATTTCTAGCAAGTTACAAACAAAACATTTATTGATAAGCACCATTCAATAATAAAAGAAAAGTAACTGTAAAAATGATTCATTTTTATTTTCAAAACAATTATAAAACGAAGTTATAATAATTGATATCATTTAGCCGATTCAATGAGGATTTTGTTTTCATTGAGCAATATGATGAAACTTATCAAGGGCATTAAATATAGACAATAATCCTTAACTTCCAGAAGATATAGATTAATTTCGTCTTATCAGTTAAGATGAACGCTTTTTTTCTTCTTTTTTTTATCAAATAATAAAATGATGTAACTGTATTCAAAGTTTGCTATTTTAGTTTTCTTACATTTAATCATCAAGACTATTTCAATATTAAAATATCGCCAATTGGATACTTGCAAGTGACTGAATCGTAAGTTAATTCAAGCATTTGTCTATTTAGAAGCCAATCAGGTTCGACACACACGCGTGTCGTTGCTTACTGGTATCCAATTAAATCTGATTTAAATCACATGGTTTTGCCTAATCACATCCCTTCTTCTAAAGTTACAAATAGCCAATTGAGAAGGGGGGGGGGAAAGTTATCAAATACTATGCTATATTTTTAGTGTGGTCAATATTAATTAATTTAGTAATATTTTAATTAAAAATTTCATGCTTAATTCAACAATTGAAATTTGTTTTAAATTAGTTGTATTTGATGAGAAATATTGATAAATGGCCGGTCACTGAACCAGTAGTGCCATGAGGCAAAGAATGGATTCAAAATGAGTATTTGAAAAATGCGAAATAGATTTTTTTTATAAAAAGATTTAAAAAAAAAGGAAAATACCTACTCTAATTTGATTTCTTGAGAAGTATTGTTCACTAGTAGGTTTGCGCAAATTATAATTTAAAAAAAAAAAAGAAAACACAACAAAAAAACATTTTAAATACTAATTTAATTAATTTTTTTGTAAATCAGATAGGTTTTGGAAAACTAGTTAAAAACTAAACAAAACTGTGAACTAGTTAAAATGGTTTCCG